TTATTTTGTTATTTATTTTATATTTGTGTTTTCTCTCTCTCTCTCTCTCTCTCTCTCTCTCACACACACACACACACTTCATCTCTTGCTATTTCTCTTATGTTTTCTCCCTAGTTTAGTCTCTGTTCCTTATTATTATTTTTCTTGAGGATTTTCACTGTTAAAAGTTATCTACTACTATTAATTTTCTTTTAGTCCTTAATAGGAAAATTTATGTCAATTTTATTACCTTCTTCCCATCCTTCATTGCTTAATGTTTTATGTTTTAAAATATTTTCAAAGTATTTTTTCATACTCCTATGCCTGAACCTTATCTATTCTACTATAATCACTTACTACTATGACTCTATGGATAGTTAACTATACCATAATATAGTTGAACACTGTTCTACTGTGAATGGCGGTAAAATTGATTTACAGAGTAGATAATTACTGTATATAAATATCTGGTCAGCCAGGGATTTAGCTCAGTGGTTCTGCTGCCTGCCTTGCAAGTGCAAGGATCTGAGTTCAATTCCTGGTACCAAAAACAAAAACAAAACAAAACAAAAATATCTGTTTTGTCTTAGTGCTTATACTATAACAACAGATTTTATTCCTGTGGTTATAGGGGTACAGTGCTACTTGTTATAGTTTGTTATTACCACTGTGTGTTTGATACTATCATTGTTGCTGATTTTACTACTTTAGTCTGGGGGTCATAAACAATAATACAGTCCATTACCAAAGAATAGGGTACTGGGCCAAACAGGCTACAATCTTCCATCTCTAATAAATGGAAGAAATAGGATCTTGGGCCAGACCCAAAGGCCAATGGCTAGCTTTCGCTAGAGGACATCTTTGAAAAGTAGTCATTACCTAAAGAGGTCTCAATACTGTCAATAAAGCCACCTACTACAAGCATTTCACAAGCTCAATACAGAAAACAAATTCAAAAATAGAAAATGAGAAAACACGGCAGCAAAATGTTCCCCAAAGCTCCAAACTCCACCAAAACAAATGTGAGGGGGTAGT